ATAAAAATTTTTATTAGGGTATTTTTATTATAAGGGGCATATAAATTCTAAAATAATCTTGAAAATTCTAAAGTGGACCAAACCAAATGCCAAACATTTTTTTAAATATTTTTTTACGATAAAAATCGAATATAATATTCATCCCACATCCACTAAAAACCATTTAGTGGACCAATAATTTCAAAAAAATTTTTCGTATTCAACTCAAAATTAGGTAATTTTATTTTTACAAATTATACTGAGGAACAACCAAAAAAATATTTTTTATTGTTCAGTACAAAAATACGCATCGATGAGATTCTAACAATTCTATTTTTGTAGGAATTTTTAACAAATATTTTGGTAAAAGGGACAGATTTTCTATTTCTGATCGATTTATGGGGATTTTTAATTAAAATTTAACTAATCTGAAAATTATTAGAATAAATCAAACTTAAAAGAAGTTAAAAGACTTTTCGCAATCGGAATGGAGTTTTTTTGCAATTTATAAGATTTATAAATCGAACGCTTTAGGTTTTGAAGGGCCTTTTTCAATTTTAAATAAAATTGAAACGGTCCGTAACGAAAAAAATATTTTTTCAATATTCATATTGAATATTAACATTGTTGGTTTTTCAACCTTTTCCGAAAAAATTGTAGTTGAAAATATTCCAAAAAATCTATTATTCGTAATATTTTGATTTCAAAAGGTTTATAATAAGAATGAAAGATTAAGATATATATATATATATATATAAAAGAGTAGCGTTACTGACTGACTGATTTATCATCGCACAGCCCAAACGGCTGAACCTAGAATCATGAAATTTTGACAGTAGATGTGTTTTTGGTTATGTAGATCCACTAAGGAGGGATTTTTGGAAATTTGTACATTTACGGGTAAAAAGGGGAAAAAACGGGTAAAACTGGTTTTCTTAACTATCTAACTATTAAATGCACCTTTATCTACTCTTGAAATGAGCAGATGGGTGTCTGGTACTTTTTTGAAATTCGTACTTATAAGGGGTAAAAATGTGTAACAAAGGTGATTTTGGTACCTTTTTTGGCCCTTTATAACTTTTGAACTAATTAACATAATAAAATTTTTATAAATATTTACATCTCCCAAAATTATGAGACACCTGTTTCGTACTTTTTTATAAAACAGTCCTTTTTGGGTGTAAAAGGGAGAAAACTGTATTTATGGTACTTTTTTTAGCACATTAAGAAAACTTTTTCGGTTTATTGAATTATTCCTATTAAATTACGGACAAACTCTGTAATGTTTATTGTAATAAAATTTTTGCTATTTCACTGGGGAAAAAAGTACCGAAAAGGGAAAAAACGGGAAATTTAATTTTATTCAAACTCATTGAGCCAATTTTTATAAAATATGAAAAAGCATTTTATTTACTCACACAAAATAAGCTGTTGGTATATTATTTTGGAATTCGAGTACTAAGGCCTATATAAGACCAAATTCGAGTAAATTGTTTGTTAATTTTTGAAAGCACTATTTTTCTGGAACAAATGAATGCAGATTTGAATCGTTTGAGTTTTATCTGTGATATATAGATTTAAATACGGAACATTTTGTAAACTTACTTCTCGAAAAAGTATATTTCTAAGCGAAAAGGGGAAACATTGTACTCTTTTTATTACTACTTTCCACTTAGGTAAAATTTATTTCGCTTTTTCTGCCTCTAAATGATACTCTTTGTATGTTCTTTAATATGAACTCAAAACACATGATTATTAAACATACACGGTTCTTATTGAATAAGATTTTATAAGATACAACTTCTTAGTACTTTTTATCTCATAAATTGTACTTTTTTAATTTTCTAAAATATTCAACCTAGGAACTCTAATTTTAACATACATGGTCTTGACTGAATAATATTCTGTAAGTGGGAACTATTTGGTACTTTTCTATTCTTCAAATGATACCTTTTAGATTCTTTATAATGGTTAACCGGAACAACGGTAGTTATTAAATGAGAATTTATTGAGAGAGATTTTTGTACTTTTTCGTTTTTACGATGGTACTTTTTAATATTTTTACGATATTGAACATAGATATTGAAAATAAAATTTAAAATGTAGGGACCTTAGTGAAGTACTTTTTCATTCATCAAATTATATTTTTTGAATTGTATATAATATTGAACACAGAAACATAAAAATTTTTATTCAATGATAATCTATTAGAGGTATTTTATAGTACTTTTTTCAAATATTACTTTCGAAATTTTCTATAATGTGGAATCAAAATGAATGAAACTAAAAATACAAGCTTCTTACTGAATGCGAGTTTAATCACGTGATATTGAACGTATAAAACTGAAAATGTTTTAATTTTCTATAAAAGTAAACAAAATTTTGTATGTATTTAATTTAAGTTAGGGTAGCGAAGCACCCAGGGTATGCTAGTTTTATATAAAAAGAATTGATGAAAATTTAGTTTATTTAAAAAATCGTAAAAAAGGACAGGTAAACTAAGCGTGATTTTAAAGCTTCTTTCACAAAATATTAAAATTTTGTGAAATTTGTTTTTTGAATTCTTATTGGGATAAGATACAACCGTCGTCTTTATTTTGGATAGATTCGATACATACTAATATCCTTGAAAAATATATTATTAAATGCACAACAAATTCTATGCGAATTAAATGTTCTCTCCAATGTCAATTTTTATTTGAAATTTAGTTTTCGAATCGGTTAGACTTATTTTTGCCAGAAAAAAATATTCAGTAATTCATTGGCTACGAATTTCTGCATATCCATTTACATCAAAATTCCTCACTTTTTTTCGTTGTTTTCAAGAAAAAATTTCCGTTCGGATTGAGAGGAACAAGGGCCTGTTCATAATATATAATACTTTAGTAAAATTTATTAGCGTACTTTTTTATTATTATGTATTTCGTTTTATATAAATAACGCGAAGCAGGGTAATTATCTTAAATTTTAATATTTACACTGTACGACATATTGGAATAATTTCAATAATATTTAAAAAGATTTTATAAAATCCAGCAAATTTTAAAATCCTGCAAATTTTACGAATATTTAAAAATTAAAAATAAAAACTCCGTCTTGACATCGTTGTTGTTCTATTATATTATTAAAACTGCCGACAGAACAAAATTTTAATATTTAAATAACAAATCAAGTATGATGAAGAGTTGTCATTCAAACTAAATTTAGTCTGAATGCGATTTAAAGAAACACCTGTTTGCAATTTAAACTAATAAAAAGAAAAAATATAAATATAAATATGTATCTTTAAAAAAACGCTTAATCATGTTTTAATCAAACATTATAACTACCTAAATTTTTTCTTTGACACAACTCAAACATGTTGGAATATATTTCTATAGGAAAAAGAAATAATGTTTAAAGAAGACAATAACAATTCATATTTAATTTTAAACTAAAAAACTATAGGTTGATAACTTTAATCACTTTAGATTATAATTAATTTTTTATGCTATTAAATACATTTAACTTAAACGTGTTTATTTAAATGCAAATATTAAATTAATGAGTTTTAAAAAGTAGCTGGGAAATATTTTAACTCTTTTATGAATTTGTACAATTAATCAAATGATTTTGATAACATCCTTGAAGAGATTAACAATAACAGTGAGTAACAAAAATAATTCATAACTGGTTGATTAGAACTAGCAAATTTCCAATTACACGATGTTACAAAATTACAAAAACTAAAAATACCATCCACGTACACCTAGTAGAGTAGTTCATAACACCATATTTAGAATAGGTAGAAAAACTCTTCCGTATTCTTTACGAATATAAGTGGGTTTCAGGAACTGAATCCAATTGTTTTATTTTCTTAATAATTTTTTTAACTTTATGTCCATTTTTGATTGACAATATTTTAAAAAAGGTAATTTTTACTTAAGGTTTTCTTTTAGCAATTTGTCTTCCGAATAATGAGATATCGATATATATATCTAACACTAATTTACATACTATCAAAAACTAGCTAATGCAAATCAGAAATCAATTTAAAGCCGTTAAATAGACTAAAATCAAAGAACGTTACAAACAATACGAAATGTTTTGTATACCAAAATGTTGGTATACAATTTGGATATTTTTTTGTTTATGTATAAAACAAATTTAAGGAAGTACCATACAAATTAACATCTATCGTTTAATTTTTCATTTCAAACAAAAGAAATAAAAATGCAGATGTATACGTATAGATAAATACAATTTTAGAGTGATGAATTGAGTGCCATTTACGCCACAATGTCAAATTTGCATTTTTTGCAATAAATTTTGCATGCATTGATTATATGCAAATTTAAATGTAGCTACGGTTACAAACAGTAGATGATAATTAATAACATAAGGCAAATAAAGCAATCCAAAAAACAACAAAAAATATCGAAAATGAAATATGAACTTTTGAAATGATGATGTACGAGTGACACAGTGCGCTATTAAGAGATTGAATAAATAATTCAGTTTTAACAAAGTAAATAAGTGAATATTGGAAAATTATCGTGTTTAGGATTATAAACCAAATAGATTTTGAAACATAAATATCTTCGCTTCTTTTCGATGTATGTTATGTTACCATCATAACTTTGTGGGTCATTTTATCTAGTGATCCACATCCACAGTATTTTTATCAAAATATTTATCTATTTCAAACATAAACAAACAACATGCACTTGAAGTGTCCAAAAAAAACTCAGGAAAAAACATAAAATTTTAAAATTAGTATAAAGATTAAAAATTATAAAATACACAAAGATTAAATATGCAAACAAACACGAAACAATAATCACAACAGAAATGACAAATATCAATTAAAACAACTGGTATTCCAAAGTAAATCCCATACGAAAGTTCAGCTTGTCTGTGATCTTCAATCAAGACATGTATTAGTAGTGTCAAAAGCAATGACTTACTAAGGAAATTAATTGATCAATTAAAGAAATAAAAAATAAAACAGTACGAGAAGAAATAAAAAATTATATAGAAAAAGTTGATTGATACACCCCAAAAAATGGTATACAATGCTTTTGGCACTATTATCTTGTTATTTTAAAGAAACAATTTGTTGAGGTTTCGGAAGATGATTTTGTATAAAAATGTTGATGACTTGACTAATAGCCATCAGTTTCACGTTAACTGCACAAATCTACAATTGAGAAGATTTTTCTAACATCAATAGTTCAATAAGATGCGCGTATTTTTGGTAAAGGATTTGAATATTATTCTAAGCCATTTTGGAATTATCACAAATAATGTTTAATTATTTTCTTATAATTTTAGACATTGTGCTCAATGGCTGCTTTAGCTTTGGCTAAGCCACAATACAATTACGGTAGTGGTGTTTCTGGCAGCTTTGGAAGCTCTGGCAATATTGGAGGGCTCAGTGGTCTTGGTTTTGGAGGATTGGGCAGTAGTTCTGGAGCTTCATTTGGGGGTGGTGCTGGAAAATTCCAAGGAGGTAATGGTGGTGGATTCTCCTCTGGAGCTATTGGCGGTGGTTCTTCATTCGGTTCTGGCTCTATTGGTGGTGGTTCATCGTTTGGTTCTGGTTCTATTGGCGGTGGTTCATCATTCGGTTCTGGTTCCATAGGTGGTGGCTCATCATTTGGCGGTTTCCAATCAAGCTCATCAAATTACAATCAATATTCCCAACAACAACAGCACTCAGCCCAATTCGAAGCTCCTTTCGTGCATAAACAATTCATTACTGTTGCTGCACCCGAAGATAACGAAAATTTGGAACGCACCAAACATTTAGTTATTGGTCGTCCTCAAAAGAACTATCGCGTCGTCTTCATTAAAGCTCCATCATCCAGCAATGCCAATGTCAAGTTGTCTGCCGAATATGCTCCCCAAGAAGAAAAGACCGTCATTTACGTTTTGTCCAAAAAGGATAGCTCTTTGGAAGTTGGCGACATTGCTACTCCTGCTCCATCCGTACCCAGCAAACCTGAAGTATTCTTCATTAAATATAAGACCGAAGAAGAAGCTCAACATGCCCAAAAACAAATTCAAGGTAATTTTATCTAAATTCACTTCCTATTTGTATTATTGTTTCTAACAACAATTTTAATTTGCAGCCGAATACGATAAAATCGAAGGCACCTCCGAACATACTGATGCTGGCGTTGCTCCCCAACAGTCGGTTGTTGGTATTTTGGATGGATCTAATGGTGGTGCTTCAGGTGCCGGTACTGGTGCTGGATTTGGCAATTCTGGTAACGCTATTGGTGGCGGTTCTGGAATTTCTAGTGCATTTGTTGGCGGTAATGGAGCCAAATCTTCTGCTTACTTGCCTCCTGCTGGTCATTAATAGTTTTTATCGCATTTTTAAACACTCGAAAAGTATTAATGGTATACGAGTAAATGTTAAGTTTTTTTAAAATTAGAAGAATAAAAACGTTGAAACGGGAGTTATGTCCAACATTTAATTTGGTATAATTGATAAACATACGTATGTGTATAATGCTTAAATGAAGATTATGTAACATTTTCTATAAAATACTAACGTGCTATAGTTCCCAATACAACATTTAAAAAAAAATTATTTAAATAGGCTTAAATCCTATTAATGGACGTAATGGACGAAATATTTATATTCCAAGTATGAATAAAACATACAAACTATTTTTATACAAAATAATGTTCACTTACCCACAGAATTTATAGCTTTTTTAAGCAACAAGTCTGATTGTGATTTATCTAGAGTATCGATTTCTCTACAGGATCGATATAGACTTGTAACCATTGATTCTACTGAATATGAGACCGATGACGTAGGCAACATTGATATAAAACGATTTAATTCGTTTAATTCTAAATTTTTGTAAAAAAGTTTATACATTAATCGGTTTATTTAAATTAGTAATTTTACCAAAAACTCACCTTGATATTCGTTGTAAGTCTTGTAATTCCACTCCCCTTTTTTGATTACATAATAATCGTTTTCAGCAAATTCTTTGTCAAAATTGCCACAAGCCCATTGATAAGTATCGTGACAAGGATTCTTAGAAGTATTAGACCACAGCAAGATCTGTTGACTTGAATGAACACACTCCTTTTCTAAACATAATTCAGCCTTAAGATAAAATGGCACTTCTGGCCAAAATGCAATCATCATTATAATGATTATCAGCAGAACAGCACACAGACATGCTGTGGTTACATACATAATACGTCTTTTCCGAGATAATCTCATTAAGGCATCGAATGACATACGACCTGGAATTAAAAAGGCTACAATGGAGAAAGTATTCCACAGAAAAAAAAAACAAAGCGTGAATGAGTGTGAATTAGTGCGTGTAACATTTAAAAAGTGGCAATGAAATGGTGATGATTTAGCATAGTACCAACCTCTAAAGCCATTCACTGAACCGGGACCACCCGAAATCGGTGTTTCCGCTTGAACATCGTTATCATGCCGATCGTTTTGTGATTCTAGATCTTTGGGAACTCCTACATTTTGATCTATGTTTAATTTTAATTGATTTGTCGTTAATGGCGCCGTTTCACTGCCTTCTATTTGCTGTTTTGCATCATCCAACTTTAAATTCCGGTCATCAACTTCATCAATTGCACTTATGGTAGGTCGAAATTTCCCTTGATTCGAATTCATATTGTATAAAATATTACTACTAATGCATTTATTGTTTTATTTTCATAAAATATTGTACATATTTTGTTTAGAATAATTAGTTTCTAAATTAAAACTGATCTGTAAATAAAAAAAAAATAAATCATCATATTATTAACATGTTTTGTATTTTGTAATTAATTATATTTAAATATTTTACACATTTAATAAGCTTTTATATAAAATATAATAATTCTTCAAAAAATATTTGAGAACTATTGCAAAAGATTTAAAATATTAAAATAAAATATGCAATATTTAAAAATCCAGCACAATCTACTAAATTTTATAATTAAGTGTAAAAAATAACCAAAATATTTTAATAATAAAATATTTTCTGCATAAAATGTTTAATTAACTGTTTACTAATAAACCCATTACATATTGATAAAAGTTTTAATTTTATAAAATGTCAAAACAATTAAAAAGTCATTAAGGTTTTATAATTTTAGCTTTTTAATCAAATATTTACAGAGAAATATTAACATGTAAACAAAACCTTGACCTTGGTTTCTAAAATATATATATTTTTATTAATTTTATATTAAAAATATAAAATATATCTTTCATTCATAAGATAATAGTTTATGGAAAGTTCTTACATTAAACTACTAACTATTACGAAATAAATAGTTAAATTAACCGTTAAGCAATTTGAAAGTCATAAATAATCTTATCTGCATATACTATAAATGAAGATAATTGAAACAGAACTAATATTAAATATAATATTTTTATATGTACATATTATTAATTTAAGATCAAAGCTTTTAATTTTTTAGAATGTGAATTTGAATAAGTTTCCCAGACTATAAAATTTATCTAAAACATACTCATACCATAGGGTGCTCCAAATATGTATAACTACAATAATTCTACTCTTTTCCGCACTTTGTGGTGAATTTTGGGAATGTTATTTGCCCAATTGAGAGCTGATCCTTGATCCCATTAAATTGGAGTTTTGTTCTTTTTAATAAAGCTTTTATTATGTATAAAAAAGTGCTACTAACATTTGGAACACCCGTTATATTCCTTTATTCCGAACAAACAACAGTACAATAATGCAAAACTTCTTTTGTATTTAAATTGGATACAATTGATGACAATTTGCCGTATAGTTCAAGCAAATATACATATAATAGCAATGAACCAAGAGAAAGAGATGATCAGCATAAAACAGATCACCATGCAATTCATACAGTCGTTAACAAAAATTATGTCACATACATATAAACACGTTTTTATATTTCTTTAGAGTTTAAAGAAAGTCTTTTGATTTAAAAAATTGCAAAAAGTTGAAAGATCGAAAGGTTTTGTAAAAGGGGACTAAGATTAATAAGGTTATCTAACTTCTGCATATATAAATGCCATGAAAATTATAAAGTTTTAACTACATACTCTACATGTCAGTATTATTTTGTAACACAATGTCATATTAAATGGCCACAGAGAGAACCGCATTACTGTTTCAGACCACATTTATACTCATGTTTTTGCACACAAATGAGAATAAAATATAATAAGTAACGAAATAATTTAGTTTATAATTTTATCATGACATAATGACTTTAAATTCAGTTTAATTAAATTTAAGACAATTATAAAATCAAAACTTTGTGTAAATATGTATGTAGATACATATTTATGATCTATGGCCAAAATTAAGTGACATAATTGACAATGTATTTGTCAAAAGAGAATCATGTTGTCAACATAAACTGTCAAAAAATTGAAATTTTGACAATAAAAAAATAATAAAGTGTAATATAAGTAAATTACCAAAAAAAAAAAAAAATTATTATAACTTTTCATTTTAAATTTGATTTCAACAAAATTAATTTATTTTGATAATGATGATAACGAGACAACAAATAAACTATACAGTTACTAAAAATTAAATTGAAATAAATATGTATGTATCTATGTATTCGTTAGTATGTTTCCATATAGTAGTAAGTAAGTACATTCATATTTGTACATACAAACTTGTGTAATGTGATTATTTTAGAGAGTTTGAATCACTAAAAATTGAGAACGATTTTATTTTTCTGTTTTCTTTGTATTTTTTTTAAGATAAGATAAAATAAAAATTTATTCCGAAATGTGAGTATCTTAGTTGGCATAATTATAATGGCAAGTTAAAATAAAGTTAAAACATTAAACACAATTTTTTAGTTCATGCTCTTTTGGCCAAGACTAAATTAAACAAATCTCAATTACTTACACATGTATGAATGTAATGTATAATAGTTAATGTTTTTACAAATAAGAATGTAAATAAATTTAAACATCTTTTGCTTTTTAATTCTACTCGGATTGTATATCAACAGAATGAGTCTGATAACCCAAATACAATGGCATTAAATGCAATACTAAAGATGGTTGGTTTCACAAATGTATGTACTTCAAAGATATACGCTCGTGTCATCATTTGATTCTAAAGACATGGCATGAGACACAAACAGCCATATCAAATTGGTCTAAATTACATTAAACTGACAGACAGAGAAACGTTTGCACAATCTTTAGTTTGAATGCTTCGTTTTTTATAATTTATAATTGTGTTTAATTCTAATTGAGAACTTTGAAAATGCACCTACTCTTAACAAAAGATGATTTCTCAAGGTGCTAAATCATTTATAATAGAAATCACATGAATCGTTGGAAAATATACAAAAAAAAACGAGATTTAAATAAAATACATATAAAACCTCCCAGAATGATGTAGACTACAGCACACATGGAGTATGAGTAGAATATCACATTTCGCAACTGGTTATATGTAGATCTGTAGACGTTTACATTCTATAGTTTAAACAAAAAGCATTTGAAATATGTTATGTATATAAATTTATTATTACACCCTACAAAGATACCATTAAGAATAACTTGCGAGTTAAAATCAATTTCTGGGACATTTTGGCGATGTCCGTTCGTAAATTTCTAATCTACTAAATTTCGATCTTTTTTTATATAATTTAATTTCACTCACTTAAGTTCCCTTTCTGAAATTTTAAAATTTCACGACAATAATCGTCGAGCCCTAATTAAACTTACCTACCTACCTAACAAATTCTACCTAGATTAGCTCATTATATAACCACCATTATTGAGTCTTTCGAAAATTGCCAGTGTAGGGCATCATATGGTCGGACATGATTAATAATTTGTTGTGCTTATTTTCGTTACAATTCGATTAAAAATCTAGACCGCATAGAAAGATCATATAAGTATATATTTATATATTTATTAACCAAAAGAAAACCACTCATTCTTATAGTGGTTCAGAAATCAAAAGACTTGATTTCGAGTAAAACGGTTTTAAATGTTTTACGTCATTTTATAATTTTAAAAAAAATCAGAAATCGAAAACGTGTACGCGTACATAATTACGTTTAAACTCTTAATTAAGTTAAACCTAAATTTTTACTAATCAAATTTAGATCAAAACATAACATTTAATGTTATTGCGAAAAATAAAAAAAATTTATTTACTTTTTGGTCCTAAATTTAAAAAAAAAACACGAATTTCCAATTCTGATTAAATTATATTATAACATATTTTTTATAACACCGCCCGACACTCAAAATTAGACACGAACCAGACTATATAAGTCTGAAACTTGAGATTAAATGAAGCAAAACTGCGTTCACAGTTTTTTATTTCGTGATCCTGTTCCCTTGTAAAAGGACTTTAGAATTTCAAAGGAGTTCATTTTCTAAAAAATGTTTTAATTGCTTCTGCTTAAACTACTATGCCAAATTTGGTGTCAAATGTCCTTCAAAATTGTTTTGAAAAAATAATATTGAAAACCTAAATATATATTAAAGAATATATATTTTAAAGGACATCTTTTTATCCTGACAGTTTAAAATAAAAATAATACAAAAAAATTTGAAAAATGTACTTCTTTAAAACTTTGAAGTGCTTAAACAGAACCATTAAATTTTTAGTTTCAGACGTATATTAACCGCTTCGTGTCTACCGAATTTTTTCTCTTTTTGTCGGACGGTGTAATTGGTACCTAATTATAATTACCCACATAATATAAAAATGTGTTTTTTTATACTTTTAATGACACATCTGTCACTAATTTCACAGAAGTCAATCTAAAATTGACGCTTTTAAAAAAACTATTTCTATAGTAATTTACCTTTTTTTAGTTAGTATCTTTATCTCACAATATTTTCCTAGTATTTTTAAACTTCGAACACATTTTCTTGCCACCTTTTGTAATCGAATATATTTTTTGAAAATTTCATAAAACAAAAAAATATTAGTTTTATGATAACCTTGAAACTAATATTGACCAGTAATATGTGATGGTATCGATAAGTTTTTGAACTGGGTGTGTGTCACTTTTCCTAAACCAATACATATTTGTATTTTATTTATTTTTCAGTGACGACACATTAATGTTGTTAATTTGATAATTGCTATATCACAAAGATACTTGTGCATGATCACTTGTATGTATGATAAAAATGAATGAATTAGATGCGAGTGATGAATAAAGCCGACAGTGTATTTTGTTTTAATTCTCATTCATTAAGGACAGATAGAGATAAGAATTTTTGAAATGGTTCAATATAATTGTCGAATTTCATCGCTGTACTCGCTTTGAAGTAATTTTCAGTCAGTTACGAAGCGATCATCTTAAAATTTAGTGGAACGATTTTGGTTAATGCAAAACATGTTTATGTTGAATTTTATCCCAGTTCTCGTATTTTTAACACAATAATAACCGTTAAAGTCATTTTCTAAAGGGAACATTTTATGGGGAAGTGGAGCGATCATAACATTTGGGGGAGAAATTTTGGTTCTTACAGAACTTGTTTATGGTAAATTTCACCGCTTTACTTCAATTGGTAAGCCAGTAATGAAAATTAATGTAACTTTCTAAAGGGGACCTCCAATGGAGGGTACGCTCAATTATCGATCCTCATAAAATTTGGAAAGTTCCTATAAAACTTAATTATGAAAGTTCCTATAAAACTTAATTATGTCGAATTTCATCATTGTACTAGTATTTTTAAACCAGCGTTAAAGTCATTTTCCGAAGAGGTCCTAATTTTGGGGGTAGGATCAATTATGGACGGATCCTCACAAAATTTGATTCTTACAAAACTCTTTTATGTCAAATTTCATCGCTGTACTCGTATTTTTAAACCAGTACGGAGCGTTTAAGTCACTTTCTGAAGTGAACCTTATATCGGGGGTAGGGTTAATTACGGACCGATCATAATAAAATTTGGTACAGAGATTTTGGTTCGTATACAACTTGTTTATGCCGAATTGCAGTAGTATTTTTATAACTGTTATGACGGTTCAAACCGGGGCCACTTGTATGGAAGCTATGAGAAAACGTAGGCCGATATTGCCCATTTTTAATACCAAACAACCCTTACCAATAAGGAATGTTCGTAGAAAATCGTGTGCTATCGAGTTTCTAATAGACAGACGACGGACGGACATGGCTAGATCATCTTTAATAAGGACCCAGTGTATACGTATATGGTTTTGTGAGACTATGACCAATATTTCGATGTGTTACCAACGGAATGACAAAATCAATATACACCCATCTTTTTTGATGGTGTGTATAAAAATTGAGTAATCAATGACCTAATATTTTTAGTTCCTTAAAATCTGCCGAATACATTATATTTTTCTCTCTCTCTCTCTCTAAAGCTCTAAAAAAGTGGGAGATCAGTTGCAAAGATTCTTAAAAATATTGCATTTTGTTCATATTTATCCCCTCTCTATTAAAGAACATTTAACTTCCGCATCTTAAATTATATTGATTGACTCTCAAGTATATAAGTAACACCGGAACATATGTATGTATGTATATCGCTTCTGCTTCTGAATGCTGCGAAGCTGTACTTAACATTACAAATACATGTAAATATCAAGGAAAATATATGTATGTTTCTGCACGTGACAGGAAATTCTCATGATGTACAAATAACTAATATCACCAAAAAATGTTGTAAGAGAAGGCAATAAATCGTGATCGAGTGTATAAGATATAAGAAGTAAAATATAATAAATTGATTTTCATACCTAAATTTTAGTTTATTATTTAGATAAACTAAAGAAGTTATGCAGAAAAATATAAAAAAATATAAATAAGAACAAAGCGAATGCACACAAACATTCTGTACAAAAAAAAAAAAACAAATAAAAATAATTAAGGGATAAAACCTAAACCACCAGACTGTCTATGAACTTTAAACAATAGGTAGGAAACACAACTCAAAAAATGCGTCAGACAAAAGAAATAAAAAACAACAAATATTGCAACCACTGTTACGCAGTTATAAGAAAGACTTTAGACAATTTTTTTAAGATACACTCTAAAAACTTCAAATAAATTACTAGAAGTATATAATTAAATAATAATTAATAAGCACTTAAAATATAAGCAATAAAACTAAGAATAAGTTCGTGCCGTTGTCTCATTAATAAACGTCATAATTAAGTAATTAACAAAATAAGAAATACCCATAAGACTACAAAATTTTAAGGAGCACCATACAGACTTCAAGCAAATTAAATTGTAAACAAACTAAGTAAATCCCACCTTTTTAACACAACGATCTAGAAAACGAAACGAATTCGAAAGGAATGCGTAGGTGAGTGAATGTTGATGATGCTGATCGTTGAGTTTTATATCAGACACAAAAAGAAAAAGTTTAACGATCTGATAGGTATGTATTGTATGGAATAAAGTAAAAGTTCAGCTTACATTTATAAAATGCGGGTGTGTAACTTTTTCATCTTCTTAAGCTCACACTCGTATTTGTACTCATTCTCTTACGCGTCCACGTAGATGACTTGTACAATGTATGTTTCTAAATATGTATGTACATTAAACTGGCCCCAAAATATCAGTTGTTGAAAATTTAAGTTGAGTTTAAAATTGCCTTTTCGCCAACTGTTTCCGGTCCAGTATATTTTTGTCTTGTCTCTGCAAGAAACATGAAAAATCACTGCAAGAAACATGAAAAATCAGCCTTCAAAAGGACCTTTTTACCTTGAGTTTAAATATAATTTAAGTAACTTAAATTTGGTACCATACTAATGTATGTATGTACATACATATGTATGTAATATGTACATGCTACAAAGAAGAAATCATGTGTATTGAATTAAAAGATAATTTTTGTCTCTTGCTTCATGCAACATACATATTGTTGTTATTGTTTTTTTATTCCTTTTTCTAAACGTGCCACAGCCTAAACCGGTAAAACAGCCATATTCTACTTTTATAAGTCGTCGTTGCATACATAGAATGTCTTCAAAAATTACTTGTTTCTTTTCATGGCAAAATTTATGAGTTGCAAGAAATATCGATAATAATTGAAATGAGCGTATGGGTGGATGAATAGACAGACGGTCGGTCATATACGTACGTGTTTGAGTACAAAACCCGGCCAATCAATTGGTATTCAATGCAGGAATACCTTTTAAAGCAGAAGCAGTTAGGCATTTTTAAAATGAGCTAAGCGTAAGTAGAATATTTGTATGTCACTAGCTATGAACAAGAGAAAGGAGAGATCTTGTGATATTTAGTTACATGAGAGACACAGAGCACTACCAGATTAAACTAAAAAAATAGAGGATGTAATCAGTTTTGCAAATTATTTCCAATACAGAGAGGGCTCACATTTCTGTTGTTAGTCTCAAGGAAAGTTTTTGCAATATTGTATAGTACAGAGCCATGAAAACTGTTCGAATCGAAGAAGCGTGCAGTAGTTTCAGGAGAAGAAAAATACTTCTTATGAAAGTATTGTCGGCATATGTTCAGAAACTTGCAAAAACTGCTAGAAAACGTCAAATTTAGTTAACTGGAAATTTTTTATATATTTTATAGACTATACTATAGACCAGACTGCAGACTATATAGATAGATTATAGACTACACTATAGACTAGACCATAAAATAGGCTATAGACTAAGATGGAAATATATGGAATATGTTAATTAACAAAATTCAGGCAAATTATTTTATAGACCTAAATATCTAATAATTAAGCCTAATTTCCACCATCTAAATACTTTTATGAATAACCCATAGATACATATAATTTCCTATAATCTGGCATCTTTGGTTTAGAGTTAAAGAGACCACGTTTCAGTCACTATATGGGAGATACATTTGAATGGACCGGTTTTCCCGGCATTTGACAGTCACTTTAAGAAAATAACTAACGTCGATATTGTTGATGTTTTTATTTCGAATTTCTGAATGTGTGAGTGAGTGAGTTTTTTTACATAAATAAATATTTTGGTCGTTATTTTAATTTCAAGAAAGAATGTCACACAAGTTTGGTTTTCTCTAGTGTGCTTCACATCATTTTCCAAACACAAAACGAGATTTTTGTCACAAAACCAAAAGTCACACAATAGTTCACACTCAACAGGTAGTTCTAAAACTGGCTTGTTGGCAATATTCAGTAGAGTTGAACAAAAACCTTTATGTAACAATTATAACTTGAACTGAATATGAAAGAATTAAATAAAATGTTTGTGATTTACCTTTCTATTCTCTACAGATATCCAAAAATATTTAAATAATCCACTTATTATTAACTTGTTTTGTATTACAACTATTTGTTTATATCAATTGTTTTTATTTTTGAATCGTATTCGAAGACTACTCAATTACACCCCAACAAACACTATGGTATTCTTGCTGTCTGCACTTTGATACTGACTTTCTTTTTTCGTTTTTTCATTCACTTTTTAAAATTCTCTTATTTTTGGTTTTGCTTTTTTGCAATTGTTGCTTTTTTGCATTTCTCCTATTGCATTTGTTTCATTACACACTACTTTTTAATTTACAATATTTATTTATTCGTAGTTTTAGACATTTTTACCATAATTTTGATTAGATGCTGCAATTAACACATTTTGATTGCGTAGTAAAATAATTGGAAATATTTCAAATAATAATGAAGCAGTAATTAATAATACTATGTTAATATCTTTATTTTATTTACTATTATTGTTGTTTTGTGAATATTTGTTAAAGATCATATTAAAATGTGGTTGAGCACTTGTTAATTTTTTGTATTATTCTCGTATTTTTCATTCAAACACAATTTAATATTTTATTTACTTTTATTTTTTGTTGTTATTTCTTGTTATGTTTAACTATTATATTTATTTTTAACACAAACACATTCACACTCTTGACGTTTCGTTTTCTTTTATAAAAATTCTACCGTTTAACACGTCATTATTGGTTGATCAACCACTGAAAACTGTTTGTAAAGGTTCTACAAAAAGAGACAGTCGTTCATCGTCTTTCACCGTCTAGTACATTTTTAATAAACATCACCACACTATCCGAATAAGTACTCTGAAGTTCTCTACAGTGAACGTGAAAAAAGAGAATAATTGATCTTGTTTGTTTAAAATTGTTTTTGTAGTTAATGAGAAACCAACTACATACTTATATATGTACACAGTAATTCAAGTCATTAAAGTAACATAGTACAAAGCACTTTTTCTACTTAAAATAGTACTTGTGTAAAATGTCCAACTTTTAAAGATGCCTTAATTTTAAAGATCGGAAACTGAAACTAGTAACGACATGGGTATTCGAAATACCGCTACCGGGTCATTAAATGTATGAAATCCTTTTTTTTTTTTTGCTAAACTTAACGATAATACGCTAACGGATATTGACAATGATTTAATATCGGTATTGACGAAAAGGAAATCTGGTAATCAAATAATTCAAATATTTGTCTACGTTTTGTTAATAGTAAAATGTTATAAAATATTTCAATTTTTTCTAGGAAAGTTTTTTTTTGGATTATGTCAGTCTTATATTAAATGAGCGATATGTTAAAAAATATGAAAAAATATTTCATGGAAATTACTATAGGAATACTTCCCAAACGTAATGTGAGAAACGATGACACCGATTTAACCTGAATTATTATACCCTACACCACCATAGTGGGAAGTCGTACTGATGTTTGTAACGCACAAACATATTGGTCCTACAACCGCCTTAGTATACGGATCGACTCAGAATCACTTTCTGAGTCCAAAATCCTTCTTTAAATTTTATGAGGATCACCCCACTAATGTGGGTTAGGGTATGGCTTACATATATATTTTAATTTTTTGTCTAATAAAGAAAATTTACAGTGTGAGAAAAATAATTAAATCACTATGAATAATACAACGCATATTTTCAAAATACATTTTATTTTCTAAAAAAAAATAAAAAAAATGTATCATAATCGTATTTTAATTTAAATAAATATTTTTAAAAGCATACTTTTAGGCATATTAAATTTTACACCTTTTAAGTACAACTCTGTATTTTCAACCATATGGCAACAATTCTTATTTCACCAAACAGCTGTAGAAATGTCAAATGAAGAAAAAACAAACAGGCAGAGGAAAATTGCAAAAAAAAAAAAGAAGAAAAAACAAGGAAAATTTTTTCAGTCGCAGAAGAAATTTATTTTAAGCAGGTTGTTAGTGTGCATACAATGCTGGAGGCATTACTGGTGGAAAAAAGTGAAATTGTAGGAAAAAATATCAATCTAATTAACAAGTTAAATAACAAAGAATTTAAGAAAGTACAAGTCGAATGATAAGATTCTTTTAATCAGATTTCACAATTATTTTTTTCATGTGTTACACTTAAGAATAAATATTGTGTATTAAAAATTGTGCATGAAAAAGAGGTAATTTATTAATTATATTGCTCCTAAAACCAATAAGTTAAATCTATGGTAATTAAATATAACTATATACTTAAGTCTTAAGAATTAGTGTATATTATATAAAGAAAATGATTGCATCTTTCAATTTGCTGCCCCCTCCACCCCCTCTTTTAACCAACATCCTTAATATAATGCATCTGTATGTATTGATTTCCCTTCCTCTTGAATCTTCAGTTGTTATAATAAAAAAACAATCCGTTGATCTCTTCTCTGTCTGTTAAACACATTAACACCAAGATGTAATAGTTCTACGTCACCTGCTGTGTTCAATTTCTGAAAAACTATTTATTCCAAAAGAAGATTAAATCAATTCAATAATTTCCGAAATGTAAACAATGTAACAAGTTGCCAAAGTGGCAGAGGAAAGGCAGTTCCATTATACATAACTTTTTGTATAAGAATAATTACTTCTTTCGTATAACGTGTTTTTTGTTTAAACATTTACAATTATTATTAATATAACAATTTTTGGGGTTTTCTTTTGTGACCCTTTCGTTTTACTATTTCATTATTTTTTCTGACTATTTCAATCTCCACAACCCATTTCTTTTACATGCCTATCCATATACAAATACTACGGTCATATAATATGTATGACTTTTTCCGTTTTACTAATCACTTTATCTACGAGTTATTTGATTTTTTGTGTTTCTGTCTGCCAGTTTGTCGGTCGGTGTGGCTGCGGTTTTTGGCTTTGCCCACTTTAACATATTAATTTTCGTACTTTTTTGTTATTTTGTTGACGTTATTCACTTCGTACTTTTGTCATATACCCATGGAGTAAGTGTAAGGTGTTAAAGCATTTGTATATAGATACAGACATATGTATATCCATACGAGTATGAACATACAATATTGTTCAAAATCTAAGCAGCTTTTCCTTGTTATGTTAAATAACAAAAAATCTAGGGGAAAAAATTTGAGTTGAACTTGTTAATTATATTACACACAATCGTAAAGTAAAGAATATAGAATTGCTTCTTCTTTTTCTTCCGACTACGTTTTTTGATGGAATACCCTTTTTCGATCGCTCCGTAACGAAATGAAGAATATAAGTGGTGTTATGCATGTTATCAGAGTTTAAAAATTTATATTTTCTTAGCATTTCGACCTAATCTTATCTGCATATACATATATAAAAATTAATGTGTGTATGTTTGGACTTTATAGACAGCTAAACGGCTGGACCGATTTTTCACATTGTTTTCCTGTATGTCTGAAAGGGACTATAGTCTACTTTTTTGTAAGGACAACTTTGACATCCATAAGAATACTTTTATATAAAATGGGCGAAATGGGGCGTGGGCGTGACACATTCCATATGAAGAAAATCTTAAATCAGTATATCTGAGAAAATATAACAGATAAAGTGTTTGTACTAGCAGCAGGGTACTTAGCAGCAGAGTTAGAACCATCAAATTTTGCACGAAGAACTTTAGCATCCATGTAAACATTTTGGGTAATAAATTGGCGAACTACGAATGGGGGCGTTGCTCCTCCCATATGAATAAAATATACAAAAATTAGTTTATAAATTCGTAATAATGCTAGCTTCTTAAAAGTTTACACTTTTCAATTGATTTCCGACAAGGAATACCGTTATCCGATTAGTCTAACAATTTACACCAGTTAGTTTTAGACATTAATATACAAAATCGATATTTAAAAGGCTCCACTAATGTAGACACAACACATATATTTTGTTAAAGAAAAAGTTGCTTTGGTTTCGAGCAATACTGTATGAATATTTTATACAATTTTCATTTCATGCTTTGGCAATTTGTTTATTTTGTACACTTCTGTTTTAGTTGAAAATTAATAAAAATTATTGAAAAGTTCAAAATTTATTCGATCATAACTACAAATATTTTATTTTTTTTCAAAATAAGTCTGAATTTTAATTGAATTTCGAATTTTTACATTAGCCACTGAAACTCCTTCAAAATTCAGTTACAAATTTTAAACCATAATAATGCTATCATATATTCGAATTTCCAAATTCGCAGAAAAACATAAAATTTGTTCGGATAATATTAAGCTACATGTCAAAAAAAAAGTAATTGAAACCCGCTAATTAGTTGTTCAATTTTGCTTATGTAATCCTCATAATACTATTAGTTTATGATAATAAAAAATTATGTAAAAAGTGAACTTCCCACGCTTATCTTAACACTGTTTTATTTAAGAAAAAGTTGAAAAAGCAATTGCAGACACATTGTCTTTAGATAAACCAACAAAAAACTAGTTTTTATAAATAATACATAAATACATATGTATGTATTTATTCTCTCCTTGATGTCATGCTTTGTGAACTAACAGATATTTGTTTATTCCTATAATTTATAGCATATAGTGTTGCATTTATATTATTTTATTTACAAGGATTAAATAACTAATTATTAAAATAGAACTCATTTAAGTCCCATACCTCGTATTTGTTTACTTTAAAATAACACAAACACTGAGTGCAAGTTTATATTTAAATCGTAAACAATTTGCTTTATCTGTTGCTTTTGAATTAATTCATTTCTTTCATTGCTTTTTGTTTTCAGCTTTTATACTTCAAAATTAAACACTTCAAAGTTAAGTATTATAAATGTAAAGACACTTAATTAAGAGTTGATCGACAATTTGCTGCTGTTGAGACGTTATTGAGATTAATTTGATTCGCGTTTATTTTTGCCAAATTTGGGATTTGCGTTGATTCCAAAAATTCATATAGCAGCTCCAAAATATGCGTTTCAACAAGGCCGAATTAGCGACATTGGCCTCAAATCCCACAATAAAATTTGAAAAAGAAGGACTTTTAATTATAACTGAAAGACAAGAGGGTTTCTTTCGCAAAGCAGAAGGTAATTATTAACATGTTTCGTTTCTCTCAAACTTTATACGTTTATTAAATAGTTTTTATCAATATATTAACATACTTTGTATGATGAGTATGTTGTGTTAAAGTTTGTATGATTTTTTTTTATATTTGCAACAACAACAATTACAAAAATAAAAAGATTATATTTGAAACATTTCAAAAATTTATATAATTACTTGTTCATTAGGGTGTCTCGTGGACCACTTTTATAGGAATACCTCTCAAACGACGTACTAAATACGAGAAAAATAAAAAATCATTTTTTTGAAAAGTGCCTCAGGTTCCCTACGAGCGATTGATATCAGTATTTCTGGTCCTCAAAACGACTTTTAGTACATTATAACCCAGCAAAATGTTACATGACAAAGATGTCGTTTAATCAGAGGTGCAAGATGAATAATCGAACCAATGCTAATTCGATGATTCGAAAACGAGGTTTCATTGGTTCAAGCTATCTGTTTTGTCTGTATTTTTAGAAGATATTTTAAATATTTTTAAGGAAAATATTAAAATATATATGGGAAAATATACAAAATAATATTAATAATCAAAAATATTTCTAATAACACATAAATTTCGTTTGATTAAATTAACAATCTGAATTAATTTTTGAAGTTTTAAAGAATTTTTTACTGCGGAATAGGTTGAATTTT